TCTTAAGCTGAGACATGTGTTCCCTCCTGCCCAGGGACATTGGAGCTCCTGGTTCTCATGCCTCTGGGCTTGGACTAAACACATCACTGATGTTTCCATTTGCAGATGTTGGATTTTGCGACTTCTTGGCCTCCATAACCACGTGAGCTAATTTCTGTAATCAATTTCCTCTCCTCTGCCCATCTCTCTCTCTCTCTCTCCTATTGGTTCTATTACTCCAGATAGTCCTAATACAATCCATTCCTGAGCCCTCATTAGAAAACCATAATGATCTCTAACATTCCATAAATAGGAAACCCATTCATCACTTAATTTTTCACAAATTAAAAATATCATCACCCACCTTCACTGCCTACTTATTGACTGGTGATAGGAAGCCTGCACTTCTTCCTCGGGCTCACGAATGCTGGCTTTCACTAACTCCCTTTCCTGCCACCTTGCAGCATGGAGTGGGGATGGCAGGACATCCAGATTATCGGGCCCCTCTCTGTTAAAAAGATGCCCCGGTGCTTTATGGCGGCGGGGGGTGGGGGGGGTGGGGAGAAATCTCTGAGAAATGATCTCATTCTGATACGGCACACTCACATTTCCCAGTGAACCAACCAGATCTCTCTCTCTTTGAAAACGCTGGCATTCCACGTAAACCAGAGAAAATATGTAATTTATAGTTCCTACAAATGAGACGCTTAAGACATTTTTAAAGATGACCACGTGGTGGTTCAGGGACTCCGAAATTGCCTGTTGTGTTTTAGAGCAGCAGTCTCCAACCTTTTTGCCACCGGGGGCTGGTTTCCTGGAAGAAAATATTTTCATGGACCAGAGGTGAGTGGTGGTTTCGGGATGATTCAAGCACATTATGTTTATTGTGCAGTCAAACCTCTCTGCTAATGATAATCTGTATTTGCAGCCTCTCCCCAGCACTAGCATCACCACCTTGGCTCCACCTCAGATCACCAGGTATTAGATTCTCATAAGAAGCCACAACCTAGATCCCTCTCATGTGCAATTTCCAGTAAGGTTCATGCTCCTGTGAGAATCTGATGCACCTGCTGATCTGACAGGAGGCAGAGCTCAGGCGGTGATGCGAGTGATGGGGAGCAGCTGTAAACACAGATGAAGCTTCGCTCCCTTGCTACTCACCCCTTGCAGTGTGGTCTGGTCCCTAACAGGCCATGGACTGGCACCAGTCCCAGCCCCTGGGGGATTGGGGACCACAGCTTTAGAAGACTGGGTGCCAAAAAAGGTCTAGACCTGGGTGGAAGCCTTTAGTGTAGGTGACCGGCACTGTTGAGAAATCTGAGATGTGTTTTGAAATGTGCCTGGTGGCCAGAGATGGAGCTGTACTGTTCTAGGCAGTGTTTGCATTCAGAGAGGAAAAGGCACAAAGAACACAGGCACCTCAACTTCCCTGCCAGACATGGACCCAGCAGCACCCGATATTGGGCATGTTCCCAGGAATCGTGTCCACATGGCGAACACTTTGGAGGTTAAGCCCGTGAGCCTAAATTTTGCCTTATAGACATCATACGGTTTTGTGGGCCCCTAAAATCTCATATAGATAATTCAGAAGAAATAATCCTCTTGAAAAAAAGGGCTCTTTTGAAAAGAGGTTCTGCTCACCAGGGTTGCCAAATCCAGGCACTGCTATTTCAGGTAAGACTCAAGCTGTCCAGGTATCCACATACAACCCCCTGAAGAGTAGGGTTTCCCAAGCTTGGCATCAGTAACGTCCTTGGTTGGAAAATTCCTTGTTGTGAAGAGGCTGCCCTGTGCATTGTGAGACATTTTAGCAGCATCCATGGCCTCTACACATAAGAATCCAGTATCCTTCAACCCCAATAATTCTGAGAGCCCTAACACATTTCCAGACATGGCTGAGCATCCCTTCCTTGAGAGCCAATTCCCTAGTGGGGACATTTCCCCTGGGACTTTAAGCAGGCGGCAAAGCATTTTTTGAGCCTCATTAAATTCACTCCCTGGAAAGAGACTCCGGGGCCATCCGTGGCAAGCACTCTCTCTGTTCCGACAGCAAAATCAAAAACCAAATCAGGGTTTCAGGTGTGGCCAGTCAAGGGGCCAAGAAGAAACTTCCCCATCTGAATGTTTGCTGAAAAATCAACTTGCAAAAGGTAGATGAATAGGAGAAAAGGCATACACGTTTATTTAACCTGTATGCACTGGAACCTTCAGAATGAAGACCCACAGATATGAGGGAAGTTGTCCATTTTTATGCTTAGGTTTAACAAAATTTGGACAGCCGTGAAGAAATATGATGGGACAAAAATCTGACGCTAATGGACTGAGTGGGGAACCCAGCAAGGCCCGTCTGTCTAGACTCTTCTTGGCCTCCCTGGGCAGCGTCCTTCCTGCTGGGTGTGGGGCGGGACCCTCTCTGGAGTGGGGGTCTCGTGACCTACAGCCAGACAAGGCAGTTGGAGAATTTCCTTATGGCCAGTTTTGCACAGAAAGTATGTGTGTGGGGGGAGTATTAGAGTCATATTTTCATGCTTTGTGGCTGGCTTTGGGGAAGAAGGGTTCTGGTTTCTAGGAGCCGCCTTTGGGAAGAGTGATTCTAGTCTCCATGGCTACCTCATGGGGGGATGGGACAGAGACAGGAGGTCAACACAAGGTCAGAGGGGACCTTTTCCTTCTGAGGCTGCTCCTGGGGGCTTCATGTTGGAGGGTGTTGTTTTCTGAACCACAGTGGGTCATGCCATGATCCTTCCTTTCCTGCTAGAGTGATATGTGATTGCTCTGTGTGTGTGTGTGTGTATGTGTGTGTGACTTGATGAATAGACACTATTTCATCCTAATAGGCATTGTTATAATGCTGTTCTCCCTCCTAGTTGGAATTTTGTTGTTGTTGTTGGTGGTGGTGGTGTGTGCACATAGTTATGCAGCTGGGCCTCTCCTCCTGAGATAAAGTTCATGGGGGATCCATCCACCATCGTTAATTAAATGAGCTCCTGCAGCTACTCACCTTGAAGCCCACAGTGTGAACACCCTGGTGTGCAGAGCATCTCCATTGCCAAGCAGCATTCTGGCGGCCCTGAGGGACGAGTGACCACCTCTTCCGGGGAAGCCTCGAAGCCTGCATTGGACCAACCCAGCTCTGCCGTTTTCATCTGGCGAAGACATTTAGTGATATGGGACCTCAACAGACAGAAGCGTTTGTGTACATCAGCAAAGATCTCTCTTCCTTTCCTTTTCTGAATCTCCCTGATATTTTCGAGGTTTTAAAGAGAAGAAAGTGTCTACCTGTCTTTCTTTCTTTTCAATGGAATCATCAACACAGCTGCAAGAACATCCGATGGAACTTGAACATGGAGTGCTTTCTTGACCTCAACTTCACAGAACCACGGCGGCAATGCCTTAGAAGGGACGGACGGCACCCTTATGCCAAGTGGGAAACCCAATGCAACCCACGTGACGATTAACCTGGCCCAAGGGCAGTTTGGCCTGCTTGGAGTCTGAGCTGCACGGTCTGGTTGGACGTGTGGGAATCTGGAAGTGCATCTGAGCAACGATGGACGACGATAAACTCTAAACTCACCTGGCCTGCAGGTGCCTGGTTAGAAAAGACCCTCTCTCTCTACCAGGCCCTATGTCTGGGCTATTTCTTTCTGGACACAAGGAAGCTCTTGCTTTCAAGCTGTTTTGCTTTCATAGTTTCTGCATAGCACAGAGTTTTGTTTGTTTGTTTGTTGGCGTGCTCAGAATTGCTGAAATTCCCAACATTCATAAGGAAGATAAATAATAAATTATGGAGTGAAAAATAAAGGCTGTTCAGAGCATGGGAACTCGGCGTGGACCTCGGTCTGCAAACTGTCCTAAATGAGCCCTGTTGTTGGCCTGCCTCCTTCCCCTCTCTCAGACCTTTCCCTTCTCAACGCCATTCCTAAAAATAGCAGATAATTAGCCGCGGTCACAATGCACGCTCTTATGGGCGCCTTAGTATATTTTAATCCCGCCGGAGTCCGTGTGCCACGCTCCCGGTTCGAATTGGTTTTCCCCGTTTGGTATCCAGAGAGCTAATTCATTTTGTGGCTGGCGCTCCCGCATTCCTGATGAGCCGCTGACAATGAACGCTGTCTGCATAACAAACGTGTCTTTCTGGGGCTGCAGCAACTACAAAGTGATTAACATGAAATAAAGGCTCCAGCCACAGTGAGCTCTCCCTGTCCTGCCACGAACACCACTGTTTTTATTTAACTCTGCCTTTGTCAGCTCTGTTGGAAATCATATTTCTTCTTTTTCCTCTCTCTCTCTCCTCCCTCTGAGTTCGAAACTAAGCAGGGGTCCCCTGCCACCTCGGAAGCTGGGCTACCCCCAGGCTCCCTCTTGGAGAGCTGCCTGCAGCATTCTGGATACAAATGGTTATTCATAGTCTGCGCCCAGCGTCTGACATTCACTGAAGCAGCCGCACCCAAAGGGGCTGCATCCCGCGTCTCCTCCCTTGCAGGAGCCCCGGGTCACTGTGTGTCTTCCAGGCTGAGGGAAAGGCTCAGGTGACTCCAGGGAGGGTTAATTTCCTTGAAATCAAAGAGGGCAAAGCGGCCAGCCGTCCTCAGGGTGGTGGGCCTCGGGAGCTGGTCCAAGGTCGCAAATGGATTTGCATGCCTCCTTTCAGCTCAGTCTCCCTGTTAGGAGCACAGAGATGCCCGACTCTCTCTTCACTGGGGCGCCGGTGGGTCCTGTTGCACGCTGAGAGCGTTTCCAGCCTCGCTTAGCAAGCCCTACGTTTGCAACTTAGGGGAGAGAGAGCATTTTGGGGACATAGTGGACCAAGAAGAATATAAAAGGGCATGTGGGCACCCTTCTGCTCTGATGGGTGGTCTGTCAAGCAGCTTCCAAACAGCGCCTTCTCATTTTTTGCCTCATTTACACAGGCAACAACTTCTCTTATCTGCCTCTGAATAGTCTTTCCAAATGCATCTTTCTTGGAAGAAATGGCATTCATGGCACGGGTGTAGAAGGGAAGGACAAGGCATCTCTCCAACCAATTAAAGCAGCACACGAGGACAGACTACTGCTCATTTAAGTTTCTCCAAGTCTACACATTTTCCTAATTTAGACCGAACGCCAAGGCTTTTTACGTTGCAGTCAACTGGGGAAAATGGCCAGTGTTACCTGTTTTCCTGTTGGCGTCATGGTTTCCGTTTAAATATAGAACAAGCCATAAAAGGCTCGAAAAGGAAGAGGAAGTATCCAGTATATTATACGGTATATCACTGTTTCTGTTTGCCTGTTTATTTGTTCTCTCTTACCGTTTCTCTTACCTCTTCCTCAAAAAGGATTTGAGGCAACCTCCATAAAGATGAAAAGATTGGAATTGGCACATGGCTTTAATAAAAAGAAAAGAAAAGAAATAGAAAATAAGCCAGAAACATATATTTACAAGTTCTACCGGAGGTGAACTGACACCCAGAAATTTAAGTAGCGCATTTATATAGCTGCAAAAAAAATATTTATGCATATGCAAGTAGTAAAGCTTCTGCCAGCTCTGAATTCAGAGCAAATAATACAGCATAGGTCAGGTTTACGAAAGCCACAGCTCAAAGAAAATGAGGATATTTCCATTGGGGGAATCCTTTGGGAGTAAACTTTTCAAAGCAGTGAGGGGAGTTATAAAACACACAAACTATTTAGAATGATGTAACTTTTTTAGTGCATGAGTTGGATTAGAAAGGTGGGTTGAGGGGGGCTGCCTTCTTACTCAATCAGGGCAATTTTCCATCTCATGATGATTTTTTTTTTCCTGAGATGTTGGAGTGTCATTGTATTTTCCTCATCATTTGAGACTTAATGAGAGATATTTGCTCTCAGACGAGTCTTCTGTTCAAATTCACCAAGCAGCTTGACATTGCATATCCTTTGGTCAGGCTCTGAATGATTTAGGAGTTGGCTTTCTATTCTTAATGCAGATAGGCATCACGAGAATAAAGTAGTGGCATGAAATATCGTCTGGGAGGAAACAGCCCCACCTAAAAGCCAGCAATACTATCTGTCTTCTTTCTTCCTTGCTTGCCATAGGACAAATGCATTTCTTACAGACGAGTTTGTCTTAGAGAAGGTGGTGCTGTGAGATGAGTGTTAACCTTCAGGAGATACCCAGACGGGAAGACATGGATCCATCCCAAAGCCCTAGAAACAAACACGAGGTTCCTGGCTCCAACATGACCCACCGGTGTGGTCTTGACAAATGATCTCACTGCTGTGGCTCTGAAGTTTCTTAACTCGAAAGCAAGGGCTCAGCAAACTTCTTCTGTAAAAGGGCCAGATAATAAGTGCGTTTGGTTTTTCAGGCCACGGGATCTTTGCTGCATCTACTCAACTATGCCATGTGGACCCAAAGTAGCCACAGACAGGCTGTGAACGAATGGGGGTGGCCAGGTTTGGCCAATGCACTGAAGGTTTCTCATCGTGGGGCTAAATTGCTCGTCCAGCTCTAATTATTGCCATGAGATGAGAAGTCAAGGGTAGAGGGAAATTCAGAATTTGCTTGTACATTTCATTTCCTGTAATGGGAGAGAATTCTCTTTTGTTAAAATAAAGGCTCTGAACGGGGACACACCCCAAAAGGAAAATGGGAACCCACATGGCGGGAAGGGGACAGTTGGAGTCACCCCAGTCGCCTGTCCTTTAAGCTTGTCATGCCGCAAACCCAGCCTGAAAGGCTTTGCAAGCCATCTGTAGAGCAGACTGTCTCCACTTTATCCTCCATTTGGGTCGGTCAGACTCTGCGGGTGCAAACAGACCCCAGCACGTGATTGGAAACTGTTTCTTCATCACGGTGTTTTCTTGCTGTCCAAATTGCTATTCATTTAAGTACGACTGAGAGCCCTGTGCCAGGCTCACCTGGAGTCCTGTCCGCCGGACTCGACGACTTTGTGATTGTTCTACAAAGCCGCTCTCTAAGCAACAAGAAGAGACTGCAATGATAACATCCTTTTGCAATTTTCTCGGATACCGTGAAGCTCAGACAAGGAAAAAGATGAGCTCAAAACACAGGTGACCAGAGGAGAAACATCTCCATGACAACATAAATAAGAAGCAAATAGAAAAGGGGGGACAAAAAAGGTCCTGATTTCTGGTTTTTGAATTGTGGAATTAAAGCTGAGGCTCTCGAGGCTGCTGACAGCCTGCCTTGCTGGTGCTGCTGCTGTCTCGGTGATGAAGAGTCATGGGTTTCCTCCTGCCTGGCCCTGCGGATTGATGAAGGGCAAGGCAGGGACTGCAGAACTGCCTCGCGGAATGACCTTGCCTGATAAGATCGTTCCGTCTTCCCCGCCGAAGGTGAGGAGGGCGTTTGGGATGCGGCCGACTGTTTCCCCCACACCTTAATGAGAAAAGTTGACCTGTTTATTCACCAGCTGCCTTCTTTGTTTCTAATCCAAGCAATTTCTGCAAGGTCTTTTGCCCCTTCCGTGTGGAAATCAAGCAAGAGCCCCTCGAATGTGGCTTGTCTCTAGCAAACCGCAAGGAGTCAGACTGGAAGAGTGGCATAGACTTGCCGGGAGATGCATTGAACATGAGATCAGCAAACACTGACGCACCACGGTGTGCACAGTGTGCTCCATTCTTAGGAGCGTGTGCATGATTCATGTGACATTTCCAGCACTATGCTAGTGCACACCCTCCCTGCACATAAAATGTGGAACTTTCGTCTTTGATGGATCACTGTTAATCGGATGCAGCGTCTACGAATTTCAGCAATGTGCCCATTTCTCTGGGGCGAGAGTAAAAAACACACATCAAAGCCATTGTGTTTCCTGTATAAGCTACTTTTCTCCCTGTGAAACTTGCATCCTGGTGTTCTGCCATTGCGAACTTCTTGTTGAAAATTATTTCCTTTCGGAGTATACATATGTCTTCATTAAAAGGGAATGGAATCTATTGGGGCCAAAAAAGACAAAGACCAAAAAAAAAAAAATCGGAATCTTAAATCAACTCCAGCAATCTACATATTTCTGATGAATTTTCTGTGGATTCTGATTCTTGCAGTTTTTAAATGCCAGAGAGAATTCTACAGAGAATAAGAGCCAACTTCAGTGTCTCCCCACACTATTCAAAGAACATGATATATATTTGTTTACTTACTCTTCTCTGCAGCCCCGAGGCAGACATGGTCATTACCACCATTGCAGCGAATGCACTCAAGTAGGCGCAAGTAATGGCGAAGTCATTAAATCCAGGCAATTGTCTTTGCATCCATGTGCTTAAAACCGATGTTACGTTAGGTAGAGCCAGGGTTCGTTTGCTGTGGCACCACTAACATTTGGGATGGATGATTCCTTACTGGGGGTGCTGCTGTCCCGTGCATGCTGGGATGTTTAGCATCATTCCTGGCCTCCACCCGCCCACCGAATGCCAGTACCACACCCGCTTCCCAGCCATGACAACCCAAAATGGCCCTAGACATAGCCCAACATCTCCAGGGAAGACAAAATCACCCCTAGTTGAGAGCTACTGGG